TTGTGGGGGGAGGCGGGTAGCTAGCCAAACTGATCCTAGTACAGTCTTTATGAGCTTGATCTCTCATGTGCAAATTTCCTAGGGATTCATAGTCCTCTGCCTGGGTCACAATGCGCCTGTACACCTGTGTTTAAAAACAGAGTCTTTAAAACAGCTTTAAGGCAAGGGTACCTCAGTCCAATTCTAAGGTAGATCATATGAAATTGACTGACATTTAACTCAAGACTCCTCATTAGATAAAATTATTTACAGTGGCTGAGAATGATCACTCACTTTCCCCAGCATGCACCCACGCATCCCCCCCTGCGCAAGTTGTGCCCTGTATGAGTGGACCCTCTTTTAAGAGCTAAGGATTATTAGTTAAGGCTTGTGGAGTTGCTCCAGATTAACTGTTCCTCATTAACTACATGGGGGGACACTCTTTGAACTTGTCTACAGGGGAGGGGAAGTGGAAGTAGCCTACTGTTTACCACTACCAGTTAACACATCTAAAAACTACAGACGCCCTAGTCTTCTCTGGGAAGTTACCTCATGTTAGCTAACATGAGGTAACAGGAATACGGGTTTTTCCCCTAGTGAAGACAAGGCTAAAGGGCTTACAGTCTACATACTTTTCTTTCCTTTCCCCATTCCTAATTCACTGACACCACCCTAACACTTTATCTTCTACAAAGCCTGGTAAAATGTAGATCTAGAAGCTAATCTTAAGGGTCAGTAAAGTGGTGCTATGCTGTAGCACAGAATGGAGAAGAGCTCCCTGGCTAAGGGCATTTCACTGTAAATACCCTGCCAGTTCTCACGGTTAAACTAAGGAGCTGTTAAATTGAGCACCGTCGCTGATCTCAACTGCTGTGGCAGCACATGCAGAGAGAAGTGCTTACTACCATTTATAGATTTAAACACATGCCTTAAATTGCATGCAAATCACAGAGCATAGCAGCCCGCTGCACTATGAGCTAGTGGAAGTGTAGGAGTAGTTTTACAGAGTAACTTCATGTAGAATCATGCATTCTGGTAATCCAGACTTCAGGTAGACACCATTATGTAAAATACTAGAATTTGAATTCATAATTTGTTTACCAGATTAAATTTTGTTCCCAGCTTCCCATCCTCCAAACCCAAGTTAATGTTTAGTGAATATCAGATGTGGAATCACATTTTACAGTTGAGATATGCAGAGCAAGTTAATGTTTAGTGAATATCAGATGTGGAATCACATTTTACAGTTGAGATATGCAGAGACTCTGAATCCAAATACTTTCAAACTCTCTCTCTCTGCAGGAGATTATAAATCTAGATGTTCCCAACGATCAAGTGTTTTGATTTGGCTAGTTATAGGGCTAGAATTTGTAGTTTGTGCCTGATAAAATCAGAGATTGTATTCAAGGCCATCTACATAAACAGATTACTAGTGAGGTATATTTTACTGAACACATGCAGTTGTCTTTTCCCTTCTAGTACTGCATTTACTCACAGAGTTCTCTTTTCCAGGTTTCACTATTACTGCTAGTCTGCATGTCATTAAGAATCAAAAAGACACTTCATGGATTTTTGGGCATAGCTTTCTGATGGGAGGAAGGAAAGAGGTGTGAGGTGTTGGCTGAAACTTGATTATTTTTTAAATAATGGATCTTTTCTTTTCCTTTTTGAAAAGAGACAGATCTGGGTACAACTTCCTATAGGATTCCCTTTGAGTCACATCTGACCTTATTCCCCAGACATTTACAATGAACCTACAGCAGGGTCTATTACCTTCCCTTTGTTGTACTCATGTTTGTTCTAGAGGCCAAGACAGAAGATTCGTATTTAGCAGTGTAAACAGCCAAAATACAGATGTTCTCTGATTGTTTAAATAGAAGCCACAGGGAACGGATATAAAAAGTTTGAGAGGCCACAGCTTCTAAATGATAGTTTCCGGAGATATTGCTTTGCAGTCTACCCTAGCGCTTTGCAGTGCTCCCTGGCTTTCATTTCTGTTGTCTTGCTCTAATAAAATAACTTTGGACTTCCTGGGCACATGGCACTCTGAGAATGCACTGTTAAGTATGTCCCAGAGAGAAGCTGCCAGCTTCAAGTGAAGATTCCACCAGCAAGCAGCATGAGTTTAAACCAGGGGTGGGCAAACTTTTGTATGGAAGGCCGGTTAGGGGAGGCTGTGCCTCCTCAAAAAGCCAGGCATGGCCTGGCCCCCACCCCCTATCCGACTCCTCCCTACTTCTCACCCCCTGACGGCCCCCCAGGGACTCCTGCCCCATCCAACACCCCCTGTCCCACTGCACAGCACAGAGCACCAGGTCAGGCCGCGGCTCTGCAGCTGCGCTGCCGCCCAGAGCATAGGTGCCAACTTTTCCCAGTGCCGGTGGGTGCTCGACCACCCCCCGCCCCAGCCACACCCTGACACCACCCCACCCCATCCCCATTCCAACCCCTTCCCCAGAGTCCCCGCCCCAACTCCATCACCTCCCTGCCCCTATTGGACTCCTTCCCCAAATCCCTGCCCCAGCCCCGCCTCTTACCCGAGTGCACTGCCTTCCCGCTTCTCCCTCTCAGCGCTTGCCACTGGGTAACAGCCGTTTCGCAGCAGCAAGCGCTGGGAGCTAGGGGGAAAAGCGGGAATGCAGCATGCTCAGCGGAGGAGGCAAAGCAGAGGCGAGCTGGGGCGGGGATTTTTCCCCCGGGGGTGCTCCAGCCCCAGAGCACCCATGGAGTTGGCACCTATGAGTGGCACAGTGAGCGGAGGCTGCCAGGGAGGGGGAACAGCAGGGGAGGGGTCAGGGGCTCGCCTCCCGGGCCGGAGCTCAGGGGCCAGGCAGGAGGGCCCTCCGATCCAGATGTGGTCCGTGGGCCATAGTTTGTCCACCTCTGGTTTAAACTCAAAGGAAACAAATGTCTTAATTGTATGTGTCTGTTACCATGGGAACTTATATACGCCACTGGTTCCCCTCCCCGATGTTAAAAAGCAGGCTACCTGGTATGCTTCTATTACATTTCTGTAGAACTATGGGTAGAAATTGAAGTGAAATTCAATTTTAAAAAATGAACTGAGGCTATTCAATGGGATGAGAAGTCTGGAAACCAATAATATTCATATGTAACAAGGCTGATAAAACATACTAGGTGAGAGGCAAGTTTTCAATGTATAATTGTAGCCAAAAAAAAAAAAAAGAAGAAGAAGACAGCTTTGATCTGCATACAGAACTCTCTCATGGCAGAGTTACACATGCAGTGTATTTTACACAGCATACATTTTCAAACTAAAACAATACTTAGATTAGGATTTTCTTCAGCAGATACTGAAGATGTCTCTTTAAAAGTATACAATTAAGAAAGGTTAAAGCCTTGGTTCAACATTACAAATCACTTTCTGCTTGTAATCAAATCTACTAGCCTGTGGAAAACGAGTCTCCCAAGGTAAATGGATCATCAATAGTCTGCACTATAGCAAGGAATTTTAAAATCCACTGCATGGGATAAGTTTCAGAGTAGCAGCCATGTTAGTCTGTATTCGCAAAAAGAAAAAGGAGTACTTGTCGCACCTTAGAGACGAACAAATTTATTTGAGCATAAGCTTTCGTGAGCTACAGCTCACTTCATCGGATGCATTCAGTGGAAAATACAGTGGGGAGATTTTATATATACAGAGAACTTGAAACAATGGGTGTTACCATACATACTGTAACCAGAGTGATCAGGTAAGGTGAGCTATAACCAGCGGGGGGAGGGGGCGGGGGCTTTTGTAGTGATAATCAAGGTGGGCCATTTCCAGCCATATCCCCCCCACACACACACCTCTTTCTCCATTAGGGTTCTACCAGTTTGCTGGCATTCATTTAAAATTCAAGTTCTAGAAGGTCAATTACTTTCTGGGAGTTTGGTTCCCTCCCCCACTCATGCAATTATGTGAAGTTAGCAAATGTCTATGTAAATCACTACCTGGCCTTTTCTCAAATCCAGGCTTGGGAAAAAGTGGCTAAATGGAGCTGACTGGCAGGTACGGTATGTTAAAACTGGACTGTCTGACGTCCCGCAGGCCTTGGGTGAGCCTGCCGCCTGAGTGTTGTGTGTTTATACACTGAAGTGGGCAGGCTGCCAGCGGCTGGCTGCTACCCCACTCGCTGCTCCCCGGGAGCGCTGCCACCCAGCAGCCCCACCCTGGATTATCGGCGCCCCGGCGACCAAGGGAAGGGTGGGGTCGGGGAGGAGAAAAGCAGGGGCCCGAGACACCCCTTGAAGATCCAATACATTCTCCCACTGGAGCACACCTAATGCCCCCCCCCCGCCCCGCCCCGCAAGTTTCTCCAGTTCGGCTCCGTTTATAAATGAAAACAAACTGGGGGCTGACCGTGCTCGCACCCTGTGAGACTGGGGGGCGGGCCGCAGGAGAAAGAGGGTCCCGTCTCTCCCCAACGGGAAGGGAGAGGAATTGAGAGCGCGAACTGAAGCTGCTCTGGAAGGCGACTCCTCTCCACCGCCACCCGAAGGGGGAGGCGCCCACGCCCGGGGGCACGGCCAAGGTGCGACGCTCCCAACCAGGGCGGCCTGTCCCGGGGGGGGGGGGGGGAAAGAGAAGCAGGTTTGCCCGAGCGCCCCGGCAGCAGGGAGTCTTCCCACCTGCCCCTCCCTCCCGTCAGCAGCAGGGAGCGGAGGCTTCCCCGGGCGAGGCTGGGCGCAGCCTGCGCAGAGCTGCCACCCGAACGCTCGCCGCGGGGCCGAGCCCGGACGCCGCCCGCTGGGGCGCCCTGCCCGGAGAGCGGCGGCCCTTCCACCCGGGAAGCGCCGGCCCCGCTTGGCTAGCCGGCCCCGGCAGGGAAAAGCCGGAACCCCCCGCGGGCGGGGAAGAGACCGACTCTCCTCCTCCTCTAGGGGGACCCACCGCTGAGGGCACTGACTGCCCCCTCTGGGGGGGGAGCATGGGTTCACGGCACCATCCTCTCCCCCCCCCCCCCAGCCGCACCCGGCCGGGTTCCTGCCCCAGGGGTGGGGGCGCGCTGGGCTCTTACCCAGAAAATGAAGTTGAAGCCGAAGAGCAGGTACTTGATGCACTTGGTGCCCCCTTTCACTGGCATCTTGCTGGAGGGTCCGGGGCACTGGGCAGCTGCTGCGGGGCTCGGCGGACGGAACGGGACGCAGCGAAGAGACTTTCAAAAGTGCCACTCCTTAAATCCGGGTTTCTGTGGAGCAGTTCCGTGCACCTCCCCCAGGCTGCCCAGCCCAGCCCCCTTTTCCATTCCTCCGACTGCCCTGCCCCTCTGTACCTACCCTGCCCTCTGGCCAGTCCCCTCCCACTATCCCTGCCTTGCCTCTCTCTGTCTCTCCTCTACCCTTCCCTCCCCTGCACCTGCTTCTCTACCTAGCCATCTCTGCACAGCGCTATGCCACCTTTGTGCGCCCTCCTTGTGCTCTTATCCCTGCTCCTCTGCCTTTCCCTGCCTGCAAAAGGGATTTCCCTACCCGCCCTGAATTTCCCCAACCCCAGTTTTCTGAACTAGTTACATGCAGTGTTGCCAATTCAGTGATTGTTTGGAAATATGAATTGAAATTGAAACATTAATACACACTGTAAAAGCATATACATTGTATGATAAAATACATGTATCTGAAAAAGTATAATAGATTTGAAAAGTATGAACATAGACTAGCTTCCTTAAACAGCTGTTGTTTTTAATGACCATGTCAGTGCATTCATTTTGGTGATGTTGGCCAACCTAATAATTTCAAATTATGATTTGTAAGCAAAGGCTAAATGAGCTGTCCCTGACAGCTAGTGATGGGCTTAGGAGAAAGGCTTCAGGACCAGATTGTATTTACATTCACACCTAATCTACCTAAGTATCCAGCAAACAGAGCTGTGTTACCCAAGTGATAGATTTTGGCTGGGATTGGGTTACAGGTGTTTTGCTTGATGGTCTGCCTGAGTCACAAGTACTATTAGACCTGCCCCTCTCCACTGTTTAAAGACAGAGCTGGTTAGGCTCCATAGATAGTCTTTGTTGCGTTAAGTGATCACTACAGCTGAAATCACTGATAATCAGGTCTAAGTGCCTAGACCTGCTGTGGGACAGTGTTTCTGTGGAAGAGACGGCCCAGTCTGCACTAGCAGCGAGATTCCCCCACTGAGAGCTCAGCTGAAATCACTGAGAGCTGGGTGGAACCTCAAGAGGCCAACTCACAGAGGTCACAGTGGTAGGTAGTAGCAGAAGGTGATGGCGCAGGGCCATTGGCAACAAAGCGATGGAGTGAACGGTGGCCCAACGAACAACAGTGGCCAGAGTGAACAGTGAGCAGCTGGAGGAACGAGCAAGGTGTCTTCTTGCCCCCAATGTGGGAGATGAACTCAAGTGAAAGCACCTCTGAACTCTGAGTCTCCACTGACCAAGGACAACACCGGTGTGTGTTAAATGAGGCTGTTAAGAATGTTGGAGACACAACACAGTTCATGTGAACAAACATGACTGTGGCATCATACTTTCTATTTAAGCAAGAGATACCACACACTACAAACTAGAGGCCAATGTTAAGTGCATTGTCACTTGTTCATCCTGAAGTTGAACACTGGTTCCAAACAAGATCAGCAGATGCTCACTATCTTTCTGGAAGAAACTCAACTGACTGGCTAGACGCATGTGTTGCAACAGTAAAAGACTCAACAGTTGAAAAAGTGAAGAACTCTCTCCCCACATTCAAAAAATTTGCATACATGGCTGATGAATGCACCAATGCAAATGGTCATCAAGTATTAAGTTATTGTGTACATTATCTTGATGTCAGTGGTAGGCCAGTAGATGCATTTCTAGATGTTCAAGTTATAGAAGACAGATTGGCTGCATCTGTGACAACCCACATCTTAGAAGAGTTAAATGCTTGTCAATGGGATCCCAAACAGATGGCTGCTTGTGCTGCAAACTTCTCTGGAAGACATGGTGGAGCACAAGCTTTACTCAGAGAAAAGCGTAACCCTAGTCTCTCCTATACACACTGCAGAGGCCATCTACTCCAACTAGCACTAGTACGAGCTGCAGACTCTTCAAAATACATTAAAAAAGCTATAAATTTGTCTTCATTATATTCTTTTTTCAGCAAGAGTCCCAAAAGACTGAATATCTTGGGACTGAAGTTCAGATTAGTCTAACCTGGGAAAACCCTCTGGCTTTCTCATGAGTGATCCTTGGCTGTTGTCTTAATTACTCCAGCCATTATTACTGGCTTTGGAAAGCATCTACCAAGATGGGATGGATCTAAGTAGTGAGGCTGGTGGATTACTTTTGCTACTACATTTAGAGAAGACTATTGGCATTTTCTCTCTTGTAAATCTACTGTTGAAACCACTTGGGTCATTAAAGAATGCTATCCAGGCATCTGCTACAACAGTAGTAGATCGATCTTTGTCCAGCAATAGAAGCTACATTTGGATCAGTCAGAGAGCTATCCATTGAAAAAGAACTGGAAGTTGACTTCACTCCCGAAGCTGACCAATGAAGGCATTTAAATTGAATCCTTAAGTGAAGAGGACAAGAAGTGTTAAGACAACTGAAAAAGTACACAGACTTGATTCTTAAAAATCTACAACAGTGACTTCTAGATTCTACTTAACCTCTACGTAGCTTTTACAACAACTGATCCAGAAACTGAGGGCCAGCATCTAAGAGGGGTGCTGTCCCTGAAACACTGGATCCCTTCTAGGATAGAAGTGTAAAGCCTGAGATTTTTTGTTTATTTTCTGCATAATTTGTATGTTTGCTTTTCCTTCCTATTTAATCTTTGACACTATGATTTTTCTATTAAATAAACCTTGTGTTTGTTTTTACCCCAAGCAGGTCTGCACTGGGTACACTATAGAGTGCGTGTGCCCAAGTGAACTGATAGTTGGGGCAGGTTTCACCCCTTCATGGGTGATGACCTAGAGGAGAAAAGTCTAAGTATCTGGTAGTTAAAAAATTGGGGAGATGGATTAGGGGGTCTCTGGAAGGGGTTGTTACTGCAAAGAGTGACTACAGTAGGTTGCTAGAAGCTAGGGTTGAGACCTTTATGCTTGTGGGCTCGTTACTGGTGTCGGAGCTCTGAACCACAGCACTATAGCATTAAAATAGCAACAGCAGCAACAACCTCTCAGCAATTGAACAACTAGACCCATATCTTACTACTCATCCAAGAGGAGAATGATGCACAGAGTGAAAGCAAAGATGAGGTGGCTATGTGCCACTATTTGCTCCAGGGGCACGTCTAGGGCATGTTCTCTTCTTCTGATCTCTCCCTCCCCAGAGAAAGCAGACTCTTACAGCTTGTTTACACTTTTAAGTTATTTCAGATGAAGTTTTTGGGCTTTAATTAATCAAGGGATAGCTATTCTGAAAATGGTGTTTACACTGTTTTGTATTTAGCTACTTCACTTTTGAATTATTGCATCCACACAGCCTTGTGCTTTTTTTGAAACAAGTGCATGACATTCTTGGCAGAAGTCCCATGGTGCAATGTTCTGCCACTATGCTTTGTGCATTCTGGGATTTTTCTCACACATTGTGGGATCAGTACTGGAAGGCACTGGAATTCTGGGATGGGGGGGTCAAACTAAAAAATTACCATAATTCCTTTCCTGTCATCCCATTATTCATCTGGCTTTTGTGAACTAGTTTCAAGTATAGACAAACTCTCAGATTAGTAAAACTAGAAGGATTCTTTCTTCTTATCAACACAGGAAAAAGACCTCTCAGACTTTGACACCATGTCAACCAGAGCAGTATACACTGCCTTTACTGCAGAGTTCTGGAAGATTTAAAAAAATAAAATCTACTCCTATGTAGCATTGCTCAGAGGTCCATCGAGCTTCCTCCAAAAATGATTAGTGCTCATTAGTCAACACAAAATCCCAAGAAAGTGTTATAGCGCTCACGGGGAAGTATAAATAAAAAATCACAATGAACTAGATTTTCATAGATCCTGGCACAGGAGGATTACTTTAGCAAACTACTTTAGCATGATGAAATATGCAAAACATCCACAGATCCTTCCCCAATGCAGACTTAGACCTTGTCTATACTAGATGAATTCATGTTTAACTAAATTGATTTAGTTAAACCAATGCAAACTCCTAATGTAGGTGCAGTTACACCAATTTAATCCTTGCTTACATCTTAAATCAATCATTTACTAATACAAACTAAATTGATGTAACTAAAAACTCAACCAGACTAAGTGCATCTGTATTAGGGGTTTGCACTAGTTTAACGGGGTTGATTTTAAATAAACTTAGTTGAACTGGTGTATTCTTCTATAATGGATAAGACTGGTTACTACAAACTGTAAATAAAAACAGAGGGGCAGATCCTCATCTGGTGTGAATTTGCCCTTGCCAAATTGCCATTGGAGCTAAGGCAATTTACACCAGCTGAGGATCTGGGTCTGGGAGTCACAAAACACAGTGGAAACCCAAAGAGTAGTGATTGAAATGCAAATAAGAACTCTTTAGAATAATTGACCCCAAAATTTAAAAGATGGTAAAATTGAATATTTTTCAGAACTGTCCAGGATAAGATTTAACAATGTGAAACGAATGTGACAGAGGAGAGACTGCAATGGAAAGAGATTTCCTATATCAGTTTCCAAATATGAAGAAAGATAAAAATAAGAGGTTCTCCCATTAGAAAGCAAGGAAGAAAAATGCATAACACTGGGAGAAAGGAAAGTGTAGGCAGAAATGATCACCATAATATATAGCCAGAAATGGACGATAGTAAATGGACACATGGGACAGAATTCCATTACTGCAGCACCCGTGATCTTGGGAGTGGAGCAGAGGGCTGTAAATCAGAAGACCTGCCTTTTGTTCTTGACTCTGTGGCTGATTCTTTGTGTGTCTTTGGGCAAGCCACTTAACCGCCCTGTGCCTCAATTTCCCCATATAGTCAATGTGGATAATATTGACTTTTTACCTTTCTAAAGTGCTTTGAGAACCATTGATGAAAAATACTAAATACCATAGACAAAAAACACTGTATAAGAGCTAAATATTCTTACAGTAAAACATCAATGTATTTTATGTTAATTTGAATAAATTTGTATGTTTTGAAATGCCAATAAATATTTAGACTATGGATCCAACTTGCAGAGACTGCTAATGGCTCATTTTTCCCCAGCTACATTTCCCTTTGTACCTCTCCTCCATATGCTCTCCCACACAGAGGCACTCACCAC